TTTCTACTACTTATTGAAGAGCACCGACTGGCTGGTGCGGAATGGTTGGGAAATAACAAAATGCAGTTCCTTTCCATTTATGACCAGACTAGTGATCACCACGGGTCGCCCGCGGGTAAGCTGTCGGCCACCCGTACCCGTACCCGCCATCGAACCCGACCCGCAGCGCGGGTGCGGGTTACCCTTCGAATTGCCCGCGGGCCTTGGGATACCCGCAACCCGCCAGACCCGCACTATGAAAACATTTAAAGTGTCGTTCAATCATGTTCGTAAAATTGCAACATAAATCTACCCACCCATGGCCATCTTCTCCGTCGCTTCGGGCTCCAGCCTGGACATTGCCACGTCGGTAATTTCAACAGATTTCAGCCTAACATTGGCGAGAGAGGTATATTTCTCTGGCGAAGGATTGACACGACACCAACAGAAAACCGTCAGCAATATGGGAAAGAAAAAGATAAATGCCGGGCAAGATTTCTTGGTGAATACTGGGCTGACAGGTTGGTGGCGGGTCGTACGGGTCGTGGCGGGTCACCAAACTTGGACCCGCACCCGTACCCGCACTCACCCGTACCCGCGACCCGCCACGGGTGACCCGACCCGTGGTGATCACTAGACCAGACCCCGAGAGTCGAACGGAACCCCACTTATAATCTCTCCCTCCGTCAGTTACAAGTTGTGGGTGCACAGTTCACACCGCGCACTGCCAGGCCTCGTTATACATTGTTGAAGGCTTAAATACATGGAATACATGGTGTCTAGATATTCATAAGTAGCCTGGTCGAGAAAAAGACGACTTCGGGCATCTCGGACAGGTTAAACTCAACTTTTGGCTTCTTCCACCTCAGAGAGGGGGTTAACAAAAAGAACTGCACAAGATTGGCCGGAAAGGCCAGTTTCTCGGTTGATTTTCAAAACGCGATCTTCTTTTGAGCTCAGACCCTCAGATCTCAGACTGAGAAAATGTTGGCAAGGTATTATGAGACCCTGACATGGAAAATGATACTCACACGGTGTTGTATTTCGCAAGCTTAAGGATAGATTCAGAAAGTACCGGTTGTATACGGAGCAACTCAGGAAATGCACGGGAGAAATCTGCCCTTTTGCGCTTGCAACTGGGGACAGTTGGATGTTTAAAAATTGGGGGAGGGGTACTGGAAAAAATCGAATTTCGATTTTCATGTGTGTGTGCCTCAGTGCACCAGCTTAATTTATCCAAAGAATGCATACTATATACATCAACTGGTGACTACAGGCAATCCATGTGCACATATAAATAATTGTTTTCACGAGATACCTGCAGTCAACCCCACATTGCTTTCTGCTACATATTGTCTAACAGTTTTTCAATGTCCAGGGTGTCTGGATGATTCTTACCCTGAAATTGGTTCTGTTTCTCCAGCACAATGAGTGCAAGATCTTTGGCCTTCTCGTCCTCACCCAGGTTTGAGTATGAGATGGCCAGGTTACCCATGGTATGCAGGGTGTCTGGATGATTCTCACCCAGAAACTGTTTCCGTTTCTCCAGCACAATAACCTCGAGTTCTTTGGCCCTTTGATGTTCTCCCAGGTCTGAGTATGAGATGGCCAGGTTACCCATACTAAGCAGTGTATCTGGATGATTCTCACCCAGAACCTGTTTTTGTTTCTCCAGCACAATAGCCTGGAGTTCTTGGGCCTTTTGATACTCTCCCAGGCCTGAGCATGAGACAGCCAAACTGCGCATAGTATGCAGGGTGTGTGGATGGTTTTCACCCAGAAGCTGCTTCTGTTTCTCTAGCACAATAACCTCGAGTTCTTTGGCCCTTTGATGTTCTCCAAGGTCTGAGTAAGAGATGGCCAGGTTACCCATGGTATGCAGGGTGTGTGGATGATTCTCACCCATAACCTGTTTCCTTTTCTCCAGCACAATGACCTTGAGTTCTTTCGCTTTTTGATGCTCTCCCAGGGCTGAGTATAAGCTGGCCAGGTTACCCATACTAAGCAGTGTGTCTGGATGACTGTCACCTAACAGCTGTTTCCGTTTCTCCAGCACCTCTTCCTGTAGCTTTGCTGCTTGTTTGTATCTTCCCCCTTCCCAAAATGTTGTTACATATTGATCCCTGAAAACTAGAGCTACCTCCACATCCATCCTCACAGCCAATTCGATATGTGGGCACAATAGCCCACTTGCCAATTGCATATCCCACCGAGGCCGTTCTGAAACAGCCATGCCAAGTATGGACCCCATGCTGGACATGTATCTTTTTGGGTTTTGAACTGTCCCTTGACTCCAAGAATGTACCAGTGGATGAATAGAAAAAACCTTCTTCTCTCCATCAAAGCTGATCAATGAATAGGATTGAACCTCATTAGTAGCATTCAAAAACTGCAAAGAGTCCCATTCGCCAGTTGGCCCCAGAAAATGTGAGAGGAATTCCAGAGGCTCCTGTAGTCCTTCTTTGTCGAAAGCACACTGGTACTGTGATGCATAGCGGAAGATTTCTTCTGAGATTCCATTATAATGGAGGAATGAACAATGCTGCAAGAACATGGCAGCTGGTGGTGTGAGCTGATCAAAACTAATTTGCCATGTTGTATATACTGTCCAGGCATATTGGTCATGAGACTGAGCAGGCTTTTCACTAAGCAGTCGGGCTTGGTGCTTCATATAAAGAGGCAGATAGCCATCCAGATCTCGAGATTTGGATATGAATGCACCAGCCTGAACAATTGCCAGAGGTAGATAGTGCAACGACTGAAGGAAGTATTGAAAATTAGATGAGTTGCTCTGATTAATTGTCTTACCTTCACAATTTCTGTTGCAATTGGTTCAGTATAGCTTGTGGCCTCCTGCAAAGCACTCTTGCATAACAATACCACTGCATCTTCCTCTTCCATGTCCGACACATGGGAGTAGTTGGATCCAGCATAAACACGCAGACCTGGATTCCGAGAGGTGATAATGATATTCCCATGATTGCACTGAGGAATAAAATCATTCAGATTGATGCTTGGATCGTCTGCATTATCAAAGAAAAGGAGCCATTCTTCGACTTTGCTGGTCAGCCATAGTAATCCATCTTGTGGAGAATCTCCAAAATCTTTTAGCACAGCTATATTCTTGAGACCTGTATCAATCATTGCAATGGTGCTGGTGTCAATGAAAAAGGTGTCTGAGAAGCTGAAATAAAACTGGATCAATGACTATTTCCCAGTCGGATGATCGAGCTCACCGAGATGATGACTCCTTTATAAATTTCAGGGCAATCTGTGTTTTTCCGGCACCTCCGAGTCCATGTAGCACATACGTGTGTTGGATCCTGGCGTCAGAGAAAAAGTGATGCATTTTGTTGAGGATCTCTCGTCTGCCACAGAAGATTTTTGATGGAGGAGGACAATGACTAGCAATTTGAGATGCTCGGAGGTTCTGAAGCTGTGATGCCTGGTCCGTAGCAACTGTGGCCTGCAGATTGTGCGCAATTAGCTGTAATGCAGTGATATGCACAATAGGGCCCTGTCCAGCCCCACCAGTGCCACCTTGCAGGTCTGCCTGACCCCCAGGACCACCCTGTCCACCTATGCAAATGATTAATTCCTTCAACATTCAAGAAACAGAATACTACACCAATGATATTGAGCAATCTAGAGTCACCGTCTAGCGAAAACATGATGCTGTGCTGAGCTTGGGAGGCAAGCATGTTAACCACCAGAACCATTTTCACAGGAGAGAAACTGACTTCAGTTATCACTGCAGTGGTGGACGTAGAAGTGGAGGACAAAGAGATGACACACACGAGGACACAGCTTCTTGGGTACCAATTTTTACCCAGGTTACAATCAGTGCATCTGTCCAAATATTCTGGGCCTCCGCCGCCCATTTACTTGTCTGGGATGTAAAATCACACCTCAATTTAGATATCACTCCCGGCATCATGTTTACATTTGTATATCACTATGGCAACAGGGACTGGACAGTTCAACTTTTTGACGGCCGACGGCCTGCCATGGTGATTGGCGGGTTGCCGAGTGATAGGACCCCGAAACCAATCTCCGATGCATGTCCCAGGTATTCCAGACCCTAGCCACGGTCCATATCCACCCAGTTCCCCGCCAACTTCCCTGGGCGAACGGAGGGGAGGCCGGAGATAAGTGACAAATGGGGATTTCCGGGATCCCACCCCAAGTCCAGGGGGGTATTTGGAACTGTTGAATGTTGATAAAATACGGTAATATTACTTGCAGTCTCAATTCCCACTGCTTTTTTTTTGTGTGTGTTTACTGGAAATGAGTTCTCTCCTTTTATACCTTACTCACACGGGGGGCAAAGACCCAGGCACATGATTTTTGTGTGCCTTAAATTCACCTTTGTCGCACATGAGCCGGAGATAAAGTGAACAAAGGAAATAAAGGGGAACAAATATTTGTTTTCTTTGTGTACTCCATCTACAGAGCATATGCGAGGAAAGTGCATTTAAGGCACATGAAACCATGTGCCTGGGTCCTTCGCCGTCATGTCATCACAGTGCCCAAAGGGAGAACAGAAGATTTAAGCATTGTGTTAAAAGCACTTTGCGTGTAGCCGGGCCCCAGGGCTTTTCTACGCCTCCCGAGGTTCGGAAATTTCTCATGAAGAGGTGAGTAAGATCTGTAAACTCCAACGCCAAGGGGCGGTTGAAATTTTGTGAGTGATGGAATCAGAGGAGAAGCTATGGCATTGGTCCCGTGATTATCTCCCATGGCAAGAGTTCTATCCAGCTGGAACATCAATTAAGGACCCAATCAGCCAGATTTATGCTGAGCTAGATTTCAATGGGTCGTGCATGATAATTCCCCCGATTCAATCCTTTCTCTTGACTTCAAATTGTGGTTCAAATTATTTGAACCACAATTTAAAGACAAGCCTTCATTGTAGCAGAGGGCACTGTGAGCTATCACTTTGTGATGTGCTCCCTCCGCAGGTCAAAACCGCAAAAGAAGCGAAAGCGAAGTGGAATAAAAAAGGCTCACACAATTCCACAAGGCCCGACTCCGAATCAAACGAAGGACTCGTGAAGAGCCAATGGAATCACTGATGTAATTCACGTGTGCTAACCGTTACACCACCAGGCCATGTTCCCACTTGGATTTTCGGATGCGAAAAGGCGAACCTACCAGTTGCAGATGGAAAAAGGCATGGCAAAAAGCCAAGTGGTTAAATTTCCAGGGCTGAACCTTGATTTGAACGAGGGCTGTGCAGTGTATAGTTGACAAAGCTGTTCTCAACGAAACTGCACGTGCTACCAACTGCACCATTCGACCATGATAGCTGGACACCACGAAGGATTCAGCAGAAGCAAAGTGGCAGAGCCTTGGAATTTGTGGAGAGGATCAGAGGGACCGGTCTAGCAAGCGGACTGAATGGAGTTGGCTTGCTTGCGGAATCATAACATTCACTAAACAACAACGCGTGGAAGGGAAGGCGGAGCGGAATGCGGAATGGCTACCAAGTGGTCAACTGGTTTGCGGAATCAGCCCAGGCGGACCGAGGGCGGCGGAGGACAGGCCTGGGATAGAAGACTTGCGAAGAGTGTATGGGAAAATCATGGAGGACCGACAACCCCTTCTTGTTGCGGGGACACATGGAGGTCTGCGGGAATGAGGCTGGGCAATTGGAACAAGAGACTGCACAAGCAGAATGGGAAATAAGTACGCGCGCAAGGAACGGGCGGGAATCAGTCTAAAGAGTAGCTGTTCTGTACTAGAAAGGACATCTTATTACCTCCCACTGCTCATACCTAAAGCTACTCCTCCCCAGTACATCGGGGCGGAGACTTGAAAATATAAAATACATTCCGCTGCAGGTTGCACTGCTCAATAGTGGGATGAACCAAGGTCAACTAGGACCAAGGGCGTCAAGAAGTACCAGTCTGCAGAAACTTCCTGCCCGATAAACTCGAGGTGGAAGGGAATTTTGTCACTCCGGAGTTGAAAGTGCGCTGAGACGGTGCCACACCAAAGTGCTGCCATCTGGCTAAAATTTGCGCTTTTTAAGCCACTAGTTACGCTGGTGTTCCTAGGAAGACAAATATAGCCCCTGTATAAACAGAACCCTGTCCGGTGGTACTAAGGAGGACCAGAGCGAACTCCAACTGCTGGTTGTAGTATGAATGAGACTACGGAACACGGTTACAAGTGTTACAAGGCTTGGAAGTACATTATCAAGGAGGATATTCCTGCCTAGGAACAGAGTATAACAAGGGATCTATAAATAGAGAGCCAACGACTGCACGGAGAGAACCTAGTGTTCGCCTAGGGAAGACGAAGACCAACCCAAATCACATATAGCAGCAGGATTTATCTCCTACGGCTATCAGTGAAGAATGCGACTAGGGAGAACGAACCAGGAATGGTTGCCAGTCCCCTAGGAAAGAACACGCAGTCCCTAGGGACCATTTAGACCAGACTACACTGAAGAAACTAGCCTTGCTAAGCATTGGTGGCCGAATGGGGAACCTTGGCAACAATGTAGCAATGACAGAATGCTAGGAAGCTCAAATGGACGTTATCGGACGATGACAGTACGTGAATGAGTGAGATAGGCGATACAGAACCGCCTCGGGAGAGTGACACATGATCGGCTGCCGTCGGCAGCCAGCAATTGCAAATATACCCAGATCTGACTGTTTCATCTGGCCAAACTTACGAAGCACACCGGCAGTCACAGGGCCGGGGCCAAAAAAAAAGGGGGAATTAAATTGATCTTTTAACTCAAAATATTGCAACAAGTTTATTGCGGCCGAAAACACGATTTGATTCTTTGGATTTAAGGCTCGACAAAATCTAATCACTAATACAATCTATCATGATACAAATAAAGCAAGATTAAACTTGAAGTTTCGCTGCACCTTTCGCGAGCCACAAAATGCATAATCTAAGATAAGGAATAGTAGATTCTGAAATAAGCCCACAAACTTCGGGTTTAAAACACGTAGATATCATTTTCTATACTTTACATTTCGAATTACATTTAAACAATGCTAAAACAGCAAAAAGAAAATCTCATTTAAATGTGCTTGAAACTCGATACAAAACTTCAACTTTAGAGTGACTTTATCCATCCGCAGATGCTCTGCAGACCGTCTAAGTGTCAAATTTTGTATTGAGTTTAAAGCCCTTTTAAATGAGATTTTCTTCTTGCCATTTCAGTGTGCCTTAAATGTAACTAGAAATGTGAAGTATGGAGAAGGATATCTACGCGTTTTAAATCTAAAGTTTGGGAACTTGTTTCAAGACCTATTATCCCTGATCTTTCGGATTGTGTTTTGTGACTCGCGAAAGGTGCAGCGAAACTTTGAGTTTAATCTCGCTTTATTTGTATCACAATAGATTAGATTAGTGATTAGATTTTGTCGAGCCTTAAATCCAAAGAATCAAATCGCGTTCGGCCGCAGTACACTTGTTGCAATATTTTGAGTAAAAAGATCAGCTTAATTCCCTCTTTTTTTTGGCCCCGGCCCTGTGAGTGTTTCATTACTTGCCGAACGACCAAACACCACCACTCAATCACTCACTTTCTATTATCTCATTGCATTGGACTCAGTAGTATAAAAGGACGTAGAAAAGACTGCAATACCTCAGTTCATCCCCGCTCATCGTTAGAACGGTGTGGGTGTGCTCGGGCAACCTGCGGAGAGAACCCACGATGCCGCGCTCACGAGCGGGATCCGGACGGCATCCGAGGGACCGGCGTCTGCGTTGGGCGCTGGCCGTGCACATTCATCGCGCCATCTGCGCGGGCAACGTGTGCGGCCTGCGGAGAGAATTACATATTTTCTTCTGTATCTGTTTTGTCTGTAAAATCGAACCTTGGGTTTTGGCTGGCTATTTTCGGAGTGACAATTGAGTTGAACATCTCTGAGGACTAGTGCAAGTATCACAGCTAAGTTTTGCGTTGGAACAAGAGATAGTTCATTGATCGACGTATAAATCTATGAGGGCCATACACGCTAGTAGGGAATGACATGGGTGAGACCGCGGGTGTCACGATGTCACACCATACCCGTGACCCGTGATACCGTACCCGTTTTCCCATGGGTACGGTATTACAGGTATGAACCCGCGGTATTTACATAAACACCCGCGGTTCAGTTACCGGGGTATTTAACTGTAGTATTTCACTTCTTCTATTGATTTCACACCAAGGGAACATGCCCAGAGGTAATATTGATCATGGAAAATTGCCCAGACAGGCACAGTAAGGTGGAGTACTTTATATTATACTGGAGAAACACCAGAGAAATACTGGTGCTTTGAATCATGTGACCGGAAACTGGTTTCCAGGTGAAAAAATAGTTGTTTTGGGTGCCAGTATAACCCAAGTGGTATGAGAGTTAAAGACCCTGAATCAGCTATTGGCATAGGAGAAATGACCACGCAGATTTTTATTTTGTGTCATTTTTCTGGGAAAACCTAATGTTCTCTGAATATAATGTACTAGTCTTTGGGGGCCATTGCTCCGCCTGGCAGTACGAGTCCTTGGGCCGCTGCGCGGCCTTATCCGCGGGGAGATTATCATTCACAAAAAGCCATTGATTTGGCCAATGTTCTGGGATATGTGGTGTTGCAGGCCCACTTGAACTATACTATGGCCTTGAGACCTAGGGTTCACCATGAAGTGGGACATTTAGCTGACTGGATATCAAGATTATGATCAGTACATTTAATTGTTGAGCTGCCCGAGGTTTGATTGAACTTTGGACAGCTCGGCACTCACCCGACCTTCGGTCGGCTCGGCCGAGCCGGGGGTGGCCGCGCTGCCGCGCGGACATCACCGATAGAGTGTAGAGGGGATAGTCTACAAACCGAGTCAACCCTTGATTTTTCGACCGCCGAAAAATGGTTTTGCATTTCAACAATAAATCCCAAAGTTTGCGCGCAGAGCGCTCTGTTTTTCATCTTGTGTTGCATTTCGCCACCCAGCATTCTGACCATGGAGCCAATTTCTTTGACCAGGTAGAGCATCACTTTTCAACAGAAATCCAGAATTGTGTGATTGCTAAACAGCTCTAGTATATATTATACACTGTGATACCCGTGGAAATATAATACTAAACCCTGATCGCAACATCTGTCAAACTTATTGCTTCCAAACTTCAACCCCTCCACAGAGGCTGGCCTTTAACAACTGTAAACAACATAGCCACTCACTTAATTGAGTTTTTTGCAAACCTTGTGTGTTGATTTCAAGCCTTTTCAGAAAATTGGCAGGGGGCTTCTGCAGGCATCAGAAGAGCGCTAAGCACCATTGCGGAATATTTTGGGGCAGTGTCAAAAAACGAACTCGCGCTGCCGGTGTCCACGCCGCGACGCGTCCAGGCGGCAGTCGGTAGACTCTTATCACGTCGCACTGCCCTTTGACCCACACTTCCCCCGAGTATGTATATAAGAAGGCCCATGACCGAGCTTCCTCATCCCCTTCCCCCGCCTTTCTTCCTCTGTCCCCAGCAACCCTCAATGAACGCACTGTAAAAACAAGCGAGCACTTTTTGACATAACTTAAATGACCTGCTGCATCTGGGACAGCATTCCTCTTACACCGTTCACATAACCACCATGTCTGTTGTGCCACTCTCTGTTATTGTGGCCCGGGCACAAGGATTGCATCTTCCATGAGCAATGCCGTCCCTTCATTTCAGTCAAAGATAATACTCACACCATTCGCCAACACATCAATCGATCAAGTCAACTTCCCACGGTTTGAATTAGGTTTCATGTTCGACAGTTTCCCTTTGCCAATTTGTAGTATGTCAAACGAGCACACAGAACATGTTGTTTTCCAGCCGGCCGCGCGCCGCGCCAGTTCTGTTTTGGAGAGTTCGGCCATCATATTTCTTGTTCTGCACTGGTTCATCTATGTCAAGTTTGACAGCCCCTATCTGCATCCTGCCATTCCTACTCTGAGTTTCTCAGCTATGAAAAAGGAGTTTCACATCCTGATTTGGCCCCATTTGACTCATTTATCCACCACAATCATCTCATATTCCCACGGTTCGATCCTGCTGCAAATTTATTTGACTGAGCCCCGCATTCTGAATGGAGCAGATGTTGATGCCGTATGTGCATGATATGACATTCAGAACACAAGAACTTATCAAGGGGCGCGGTTGAGGTCTACGAGAAGGCATCTTAATGTCTCCTAAATTCGTAGCTTATCTTGTCCATTTCATATCTGGAGGGCTTTTTGCACCCAAGTCTTTGTGTGACCCTCGTCGATTGCATATCCATTGTCATAATCCAATCTCCGAGGTCTTCACGTTCCG